TAATCTATTACTTTTATTCAGTAACAACAAGCATTGAATAATTGTTTCATCCTAGTATATGACCATTTAGTAATGAGTAACAATAACTTATCAATAGATCAAACTCAAAGATTGTTGAGTCTCATCGAAATCACAAAAATGATCCAAACCTGGAAACACTAGATGACCGTTTTGTCCTAATATGATAAACATTGATGACTGTACTTATTCGACATGGCAAAAACAGTCAATCAGATAACAACCAAAATTAATGATGAACATATTTGGCTTGATACTACGTTCTAATTAGTTTCATTCAAAGTGAGTCAATTGTTTGTTTACAAAAGTCACATGAGGTGATCAGAGAAGAAGAATAATGAGAGAAGTACTAAAAGTGAATATGATAGTATAGTCGTTTCTGCCCTCCCCCCCCCAAAAAAAAAAAACAAAAGAAATTCATTCACTCAATTAAATTGATTGCACTGGTAAGAAGTTGTAAGAAACAATATGAGATGGGAAGAGATTCGTAGGTATTTTTATTGAATGAAACAACTTGTCTGTCTCAATGATTGACCTTTGTTGATACAATAGTCTATGATAACGATGGTAATCCAAATGATAATGATGACGTAATGAGAAGAATAGTACCCAATATGTCTAGTTAGTCAATAAGATCAATGGTAATCCATGTTAATGAATATTGAAATGATCATTGTAATATTAATACTTTAAACTTGAAAGAAACTATTTAGTGATTGAAAACTGTTGACTCATTGAAATAAGAGTAAATTTGTGAGTACATAATAATGAATTAACTGTATTGATTTGTTAAGAATAATTACGAATGTTTGTCTATATGTGGTATTACTATTACATAATCATTGATGCAACATGAATGTATAGGAGAATAAGGAAACAATTGTGTATATGTGATTGAAATGATTTAGAATATTCATAACTCAATTGAGTGTTAAGGGTAATGTTGGGTTATTTTAATTAGTTATATAGTTTGATCATGAAGACATTCAATTGATTAATTTGGGATGATGGAATTGCAAGTGAAGATAGGAATGAATTGTATGTAGATAAACATATAACTTGATGAATTGTAGTTAGAATGAAATTGAATAAAATGATATTTATATATATGGGATATTTCAATAGTTGACATAGTGAATCAATTGAACCTAGACCACGATGGTAAACGTGGAAGCACTGGACGGCCGTTTCGTCTTATTGTTGAACTCCTCCACAGTGTGCTTCCACGACCCCGTAGATTAGTTGAAGTTAGATATTAACACCATTGAATACCAGCTCAGTGGTCTAGTGGTTAAGCGCTCATGTGCAAGACTAATAGGTCATGGGTGTGAATCCTGCGAGACGGGGTCGTGGATGCGCACTTCTGAGGAATCCCACAATGAGACGAAATGGTCAGGTCTTCATTGGTCGTCTAACTTCAATTAACTCATGATCTCAACTATTGAAATTACTACAATCTCCACAAAACCCCTTCTGATATGTGGGATAGTATGTCTATACAAACTTTATGTCTATATTGATTTCATCATATAATTCAGACAGTGATATTGGCTGATAAACGAAGTCATTCTTCCTACTGTTTACAAATTACACTAAATCACGACGATCCCTAAACAAGATAGTTATACGATAGGAATACAAGAGGATCTAAACCGTCTAAGTGGACAAACAAAATTTTGCTATAAATAAGTCCTAAGAAGCGTATAATAATTTGAATAGGTTGTTGTGACAATTTGCACCTATGTACAATAAGTGGATTGCTTTTACTCCGATTAGTGGTTATAATAATTTTCGAGTCGTAGTTGGCGACGATTTCATAGCTACTGATAGCAATAAGACGTAGGTTGCCAAAAGGTATCCGGCTCTTGGGGGTGAAGATACTCGCATGTGGAATACTAGATTCAAGCAGTGAGTCACTGTTTCCGATAAAAAACAAGGATACTTGAAATGTTTCATCGCTGTGGGAACAAAATGATGGAAGGTCTTACTAACCTACAGTATAAAAATAGGCGAAATACATTGGGGTGTCCCAGTTCATCTCCGTAAATTACATGATAAAATATTGATTTAGTGTATTCTGAAAGATATATTTTATCCTTTCCTTCTAAGACTGATAATCAAAGACGCCATTCTCAGAGATCCCAAAAATCAAAATCAAACTTTTTAATTTACGGAGTTCCGTTTCTTCAGTCAAATCAGAGGTTACCGGAAGCACTCAAAATCAGAATCCCTCGTTAACATATTCAAAGTAAGATCGGATATCTAAATGACTACAGATGGCCAGAACTAACATAAGTCACCTAACGTTCCATCCTTACAGCTGAAAGCGTCCCATCACATGTCTATAAACCAACTTGCTATCTCTAAATAGTACCGTCTGAAAATTTTATCCATATTTACATGACTGTTCCTTCACAAACGACCAGTGGTTCAAAGGAGTTTATAAAGTATATTATAATTCGCTAAGTACTCATTGTGTGTACTTGGTGAGTCATCGACTCATTTTTTATTTTGTTCTCTTTTCTAGCTCTCCTCACTCAAGCTACTCTTCATGCTACCCTAGAAGTACCTGACTAAACGCGAACCGCTACATGAGGTATCAAAACTATTACGACTAACTTAACATTATGTTCCAGTTAACCTGCAGGATACTCCTAAAAGGGAAGTAATCTTGTGCACAACTTTTACCTGTTATCCGACGCCTACTTAAAGACCCATAATACTACAACCCCTTAGTCATGAACTAGATCCCTTCCCATTGTAAAACCAAACTGTTGCAGAACAAGTCAGCTCGTCGAGAACACTGCTTTAGTCTGATAGTGCATAAGAGTTTAGACAATGTCTTCAAGATGTTCATGTCTTGTTTTTGCTTTAAGGCGGGATACGTTGTATCTATATGTATTCGTAAGGAAACAAACTGCCGGTATAGCTTATTTACACGATAGCATTACCTTATCCCTGAAATTGATACTAGCGGCAACTTAATGAATAAAATACTTGACTTTCAGCTAACGAATAACGAGTTTCAATTCCCTTACAGTTAGCTTAGTTTGAGCGGCCTAATAACAATAGAACTGACAAAAAATAATAGCTATAAGCTGATTAGAATATATGGCATATAGCCGACTGGATAAATAAACATTCCGTATCATTTCCACGAACGACGGTTGCGGTGCGTTTACTTGCTAAGAATGTTTTGTAACATATTCCGAAACTTTGATGACAATGAGCGCTATGAAGGGAACTAAAACTCAAGAGTTAAACATGGGCAAGTTTCACGATTATAGTTCCGATTATAGACTGGACCAATCCAAGTACACCTGACTTTACTCGTATACAGCTTTTAGATCATGCACTTTTATTTCTTCCTGACAAACACTCAAAGGTGGATGACTGTCTGGAATTGAGTGAGAAGAAGCATTACCAAGTATGAAAATAAAACCTGACAAATGGAAAATCCAGTGATATCGTTAAACATTAGATAGCTAGAATTTTTGTGATCTTTTACGGAGACCTATATTGGTTGCAATGGGTAAAGAATATGGACACAATTGATATACAGCGGTCTAGAATTTAGTGCGTTAACAGGTTTATCCATGTCCGGGTCACCAAACTGAAACACGACATATATTTTATGATTTTTGAGCAGCTGCCCACTGATTTTAAAAATAAGAATTTTCCAGGTGACAAACCACCGCACTGTGGATCACTGCTTGGCAGTTATGTAGTTTGAACTTCATATACTAAGTCGCTGGTTCGAACGCCACTCCGCTTACTTAGGTTTAGACAACCGGATATTATCATTATTATGATAAATGACTTTATTCATTAGCGCTGGCACATTATATGGCTCATACACAAGCACCTAATGAACGAGTTAAATCACAATAAATACACGAGCCCATATGAAGGTTGAGTAGAAAATATTAACCTATAAACTACCTTTAAACCTTCAAATAAAAGAGCGTAGACAGGTAACTTAAAATGAGGACTAGCCGACTGTACTTAGTAACAAACCAAGTTCAACGTGTAAGGTAAAAAAAAACATTTTAAGGAAAATGCTTTTGATAGGAACTGAATATCAGTCACCACATTAACGACTGGACACTCCAAGAACAACAGACGTTAATTCTAGATAGGAAATACATATATAATAATTTCATATGTTTACTTTGAAAGACTTTATGCCAGGACTTATTGACAGAGAATAGGGCAATCAAGTTGCATAGTGTAAGAAAGAAAAAGAAAGCCATAAGATCACTAGATAGTATGAACTACATGATCTAAATATTGGTACTTAAAAGTGAACCTCAGTATATTGTCGTAATGATTATGACGACTGCAGATTGTCCTACAGAACATTTCTTATTAGAACCTACCGTAAAAAGATATTAGCGCTTCCAAGAAACGACATCATAAGTGCATGCAGTATTACATGAAACTAGCTTAACGCTAGCGTATAGTATAATAGAATACAGCAATGGCCTCTCATAAACCAAATCAGAAAGACGCAAATACTGTATGAATAAAGAAAACGTCCCCTTAATACTCAGCCTATACTTATTTTCCTATGCTAATAATCTACTGATTGTTATCACTATGATTTGACACGATTATGCAAATAAGACCGGTCATGTATAATCACTTGCTAAAAAAACTTTTTACGGATATACGAATATAACGAACTATATGAAACCAAATACTACACGTGAACCCACAAAACAACTAAGAAAAGAAAACATATCAATTATATGACATAAATCCTCATCAATTGAGCAAATAACGGTCCAAAAGTAACAAAAAAGATTAAGAAATAGACTAGATAGATTGTACCGAAATGCAAAATACTCATACAGATGGGTAGAATTAGAAGTCGAACATGTGTTTAGTGTTGTGAATTTAAGTCATCTTTAAAAATTGCTATCAAAAAGAATAAATAGAAAGCTCTGTGTAATTTACATACAGAAATAGCAAATAAACATTCACCCACAATTTCCAGAAAATTCAGTGATTGGAGGATAAGGAACATTAGAGTTTAAGGTCTGATTTGGACACGCAATAGGAGAAAAATCTGGTAAAGGACATTCGTTTGAGAAGTCAGTAGAAACACTTGACTGTGGAGTAGTTTGGCAAGAGGATAAATAATTGTCATTAAAAACACGAACTTTGTAGTTTGGATCAAATGGTATACCACGTAACAAACAAACTTCCCTTTTTAAAGCTAATATCTGAGTTTGCAGCACCAAGTTGGATTTCTCAAGATAGCTAGCACGTAATGCTATTGTATCTTCACGACGCTTGCGGTTATCTCTTGAGCGTTTAGCTGCCAAGTTATTTTTTAGTCTACGCTGAATATAGCGATCATCTTTATCTGACGTCTTCATCTTTTCGGAGGACCTGGTTACGGTACTACAGTCGGAATTGCAGTCTGAAGAGCTTATCTGTGAGTCTTTCGTACTCAGTGACACTGGTTTTTCATCGATACCAGGTGAACTATTATTGAAATTCAGTCGCGAGTTTCTTCCTCGATTACGTCTTTTTGTATCCGGACAAATCGTGTGATCCTGTACGTCGGTTGAGGTAGACGGCGAGTCAGCATTTGAAAACGTCTGATGAACGTATGGATGTGCGCAAACTCCAGCAGAGTATGTAATGGGAGGCATAGAATTTATGGCACTAGGAGCTGAGTGATGCAATCCAAAGTTATTTAGCGTAAGAGAAGGAAGAATATGTCTTTGAAGTTCTGTATCATAGTTGTATTCTTTTTTGAAAGTATCGGTGTTTACTGAATTTATCGTTTGTTCGAGAGATGGATATATGCAAGAAGAAAATGAAGGATGAATACTTTGAAAACTTCCAACTTGCGTATTAAGTTGACATGCATCTCGGATTTGAAGATTTGCATGTAAGTCCAGAGACGTACCATCAAACGGCACCTGCATCATATCAGCTGACGGCTGATTCGAAGTACACGAAACCCCGCGCTTGAACAAGGCTTGGCTTTTCAGTGCGTATAAACACCAAGTCTAAATTTCAGTCTTCAGTAATAAGGATAGGAAATCTATCGACCTGTATTATTCCTTGCAGTTTGTAATACTGTGGAGGTCCAATCTCGTTTTGAATACATCAATAGAAGGTGCAGATATTACGTGTTCGGGTAGAGAATCCCAGTAATTCACTACTCAATGCGAAAAACGAAATTTTAGCTGATAAACTAGTATCTATAAAACAATCTGTCTTAGTAGTGCATTCCTGAATGGCTGATATGTTAGCTTTCCATATATTTGGGCGGGGAGTGACCTGATCGTATAACATGTCCCTAGTTCTAAACGAGAATGACAAAACAGCGTGATCACTGTTCACTAACGGTGGGAAAACATTAAGGTCGACAAAATCTTCAGTATCACGAGTGATTACCAAGTCCACTAATGCTTCTGGTCCATAGAACTTATTTCTTAGTCTACGAGCGTTGGCATATAAAGCTCCTAAGTAGAACGGTCTATCCACACAGGCCTTGGTAGCATTCGCTTCCAAGACCTGATTATCCGAAAACCCACTAACCGGAGATTTTCCTCACCATTTGTCGACGGCCTTCTCAGCAGTGCGAAGAATTCGAACCCAGGGCCTTCAGTCTCGCGCGAGAACGCTTGACCTACTCAACCACTGAGCAGAAATGACGATATACAATTTAGAGGTGCTTGGGATCAGTGAAACACATTGGACGCAAGTTGGACAACAACGACTATCTTTAGGGGAGCTGCTGTTATACTCCAGACATGAACAAGAAAATGCTTCACATACACGAGGAGTTGCATTAATGCTGTCCAAACAAGCACAAAATGCACTTATAGGATGGGAATCTCATGGACCAAGGATCATCAAAGCCTCCTTCAAAACAAAGAAAACGGGCATTAAAATGAACGTCATCCAATGCTACGCGCCTACCAATGACTACAATGAAGACACTAAAGATCAATTCTACGATAGGCTGCAGTCAATCGTCGAGAAGTGCCCAACAAAAGACCTGACTATTCTGATGGGAGACCTAAATGCCAAGGTTGGAATTGACAACACGGGATATGAAGAGATCATGGGACGACACGGACTGGGAGAAAGGAACGAAAATGGTTAGAGATTTGCAAATCTATGTGCCTTCAATAAACTGGTCATAGGCGGGACTATACTCCCACATAAACGCATACACAAAACCACATGGACTTCACGGGATCACACCACACAGAACCGAATCGACCATATCTGCTTCAACAAAAAGTTCAGGAGGACGATGGAGGACGTGAGAACAAAGAGAGGAGCTGATATAGCATCAGATCATCACTTGCTGGACGTCAAGATGAAATTGAAACTCAAGAGGCACTGGACAACGGGGAGGACAATATCACAAAAATTTAATACGGCTCTTCTTCGGGATAGTGACAAACTCAATAAATTCAAGATAACGCTCAGCAATAAGTTCCAGGCCTTTCATGATCTACTCAATGGAGAAGAAACTACTATGGAGAGCAACTGCAAAGAGATAAAAGAGGCAATCACTTCAACATGTCATGAGGTTCTGGGCCAAAATAAGCACCATCACAAGGATTGGATCACGGTCGATACACTAGATAAGATTCAAGAAAGCAGGAACAAGAAAGCAGCAATCAATACCAGTCGAACAAGAGCAAAAAAAGCCAAGGCACAAGCTGAATACACACAAGTAAACAAGCAAGTGAAGAGGGTCATCAGAACTGACAAACGTAAATATGTGGAAGATTTAGCAATGACGGCGGAAAAGACTGCCAGACAAGGAAACATGAGACAACTGTATGACACAATAAAGAAACTCTCTGGAAATCACCGTAAACCAGAACGAGAAGTGAAAAGCAAGGAAAGCAAGATAATCACCAACATTGAAGAACAACGAAACAGGTGGGTAGAGCACTTCAAAGAACTCTTGAATCTACCAGCTCCACTGAAGCCATCCAACATCGAAGCAGCACTCACGGACCTCCCAATCGATGTTGGCCCACCAACAATTGAAGAAATCAGCATGGCTATCAGACAAATCAAGTGTGGCAAAGCAGCAGGACCAGACAGCATTCCAGCAGAGGCACTGAAAGCACACGTAGCGGCAACTGCAGGGATACTCCAAACTCTCTTCAGAAAGATCTGGGATGAGGAACAGGTACCAAAAGACTGGAAAGAAGGACTTCTAGTCAAAATACCAAAGAAAGGCGATCTCAGCAACTGTGACAACTACAGGGGAATCACTCTTCTCTCAATATCAGGAAAAGTCTTCAACAGGGTATTGTTAAACAGGATAAAGGACTCCGTAGACGCCCAACTTCGAGACCAACAGGCAGGATTCCGTAAGGATAGATCGTGCACAGACCGAATCGCAACTCTACGGATCATTGTGGAACAATCAATTGAATGGAATTCATCACTCTTCATCAACTTCATTGACCATGAAAAAGCATTTGATAACGTGGACAGAACAACCCTATGGAAGCTTCTTCGACACTACGGCGTGCCTCAGAAGATAGTCAATATCATACGAAATTCCTACAATGGATTAAACTGCAAAATCGTTCATGGAGGACAGTTGACAAAGTCGTTCGAAGTAAAGATCGGTGTCATGCAAGGTTGCTTACTCTCACCCTTTCTCTTTCTCCTGGTGATCGACTGCATCATGAAGACGTCAACATCTGAAGGGAAGTACGGGATACAGTGGACATCTAGGATGCAATTGGATGATCTAGACTTCGCAGATGATCTGGCTCTTCTATCGCAAACGCAACAACAAATGCAGGAGAAGATGACCAGTTTATCAGCGACTTCAGCAGCAATAGGTCTCAATATACACAAAGGGAAAAGCAAGATTCTCCGATACAACACAGCATGCAGCAATCCAATCACAATTGGCGGAGAAGATTTGGAAGATGTACAAACCTTTACATATTTGGGCAGCATCATCGATGAACACGGTGGATCTGATGCAGATGTGGAGGCACGGATCGTCAAAGCAAGAACAGCATATTTACAACTGAAGAATATCTGGAACTCAAAACAATTGGCAACCAACACCAAAGTCAGAATTTTCAGTACAAATGTGAAGACAGTCCTACTGTATGGGGCGGAAACCTGGAAAACTACGAAATCCATCATCCAAAAGATACAGGTGTTTATTAACAGTTGTCTACGCAAAATACTTCAGATCCGTTGGCCGGACACTATTAGCAACAACCTACTGAGGGACAGAACAAATCAGATCCCAGTGGAGGAAGAAATCAGAAAGAAGCGCTGGAAGTGGATAGGATAGACATTGAGGAAAGCACCGAACTGCGTCAAGATACAAGCCCTCACATTGAATCCTCAAGGCCGAAGGAGGAGAGGAAGACGAAAGAATACATAACGCCGAGAAATGGAGATAGACACGAGAAAAATGAACAAGAATTGGATGGGACTAGAAAAGAAGGCTCAGGACAGATTGAGTTGGAGAATGCTGGTCGGCGGCCTATGGTTCATTGGGAGTAACAGGCGTAAGGAAGTAATTTTTTCGACGGGTTTCTAGTTCAGCCAGTGTTTTCTTTCATTTTATCCTATCTTGGAGAGGTATATCAGGTCTAACTCGGATATCGAAATGGTCGTGACAACGAGCGTTACTTAACAGGAGATCCCGTTCCTTCTCTAATCCTAGGATTACCTTAACGAATCTGAATGGTCGAGGTTCAGCATTTTCCTTGGCCCTCTTGCCTATTCTAACCAGCTTTTGGACATGGACTCCTTTAGAGTTGTCTGATAAGATACTACGAATATATTCTCCTAACTTCTCTTAATCATGAGCGTGTCTAATTTTGGGATCTGGGTCGTTTGACTCGACCCATTTGTTGACAATAATATTCGATGATATCAGATTCTTCTTTTCAGTCACGCCTGGGTGTGTTTCCCTCTTAATATCGGATTTTTGTAGTGCGTTTTGTGACTCACAATGGGAGTCCACCAATGACTTACCAAACATCTGCGCACTGCTCACAGCTTTTTTCTTTTCGTTTCGTTTTTTCCGTACTGTAGTCCATTTTTCATCCCTCAGGACACCGGGACAGTGACGGTCTTATTCAGATCTTCAGTTACCACTAGAGGTGCATGGTTACCAATGTCAGTTTCAAGTGGTGCTTCTTCCCTCGTTAATACTAACGGAGATTTCACTTTTCCGTCAATCAAATTCGGGTGTTTGAGGCGTGTTGTAACAGCAGGTACTACACTGACACATTTATCACTGTCAGTGCTCGTGTTATCAGCGCGTGCGCTATCGTTTTTCTTAAAGGCCAAAGCCAATAGGCTCATAGCCTCTTGTATTAGTAACGTCTTATTTGCACAGCAAAACATGCAAAACCAATGTGAGTTAGGCTTCGAACATCTTTTGTACGCGGTGGGACTTAAACGAGTGCACATCTTATGGAACCACCTTTTGCGTTCATCACACTGCATTCATTCCTCCACAGGGAACAGACAGTGTGGTTGTCCACATTTGTGAGTACTACCAACCATTTTAGTCAGATCGAGGTGTATAACACAATATGATCACTAGTGTCAGTCAATGAGAAAAAGGGTACCACATGACAAACTGTAGTGGCATTGGGCTTTACCACGAGACAATATGGGAAATAAACATGCTACATTTAACGCGGAGAAATACAGAAGAATGGAAAAAGGCGGGAACAATGATTTGAATTATTACGAGTTGGTCAGGTGGCATGGCTCGGCCTTGCAGGCGTGGTTCCAGCTGAATGTTATCATGTACCTTTTATTCATATTAAATATATTCTATCTCTAGCCTAAGCTTGTCCTCTATCACGTATTAGTAATTGTTACAGTGCAATGAGTTGGTGTAGACGATGATGTAACTTCCACGTACGATCTTATAGATTAGGCAGTTACATCATGATAAGTCTACAATTTTAGGATTAGGTCTATTATTAGAGCAGTGCTAATATCATAGTAGACCATAATTTTACAAAACCTTAGCAAGATTCGAAACCTTAACTAAAGTACTTTAATAAAGACCAAGAATGCTTTTAGACGCAACAATTACACAAAAGCAAGGATAATCACAACAAGTTCAAATCACTGCCCTTTTTGAACATGTTGTTTCAATTTCAGCGTTTTAAGACAATAAAAACGTACCACTATGTCTCTAAAATTACTCGTAAGAAATCGATTGATGAAACCTTAGTTTTCTTGACGATATTTTTCGTGTTTCTCGAAGAGAAATGAAGCTAGTATAGTATTTTTAAAATCTAAATCTCATATGTGTGCTTGAGGAATGTCAAGTCAAAGCGATACGTAAGTTTAGATTATCCTGTTATTATATTCTATCTTACATAATTTGTAAGGATGTCTAAATCTTGATATAATCTACTGTAGTTGTAAATAAACCCCTAAAATAAATAGCTTCGAAAGTCTTCGACATTTGATGCTGCCCGGATTAGTTTCAGTGAGCTCGCCTAACCGAAGGTACTCGGTGATTCATGAGCACCAGATCAAGAGTGGGAACGTCGTGCCCAACTTCTGAAATCGTTATCCAGTCTAGATCAGTCGATCCTTGGTATAACGATAGCCTATCAAATATATCTTCGCACCACCTCGCTGCTGACTTTTGATTTCACTTGGTGGGTACGATTCATGGTAAAACGTTTTACTGGTTAGAGCGTTGTCAATCTCCAAATACTTGTGGAATCTTCACCAAAATAAATAGAACATATAAATTTACTTCGTTCCGTAGGTCATTTACAAATTTGCGGGCTTTGGATTTCACCTTGCGGGTTTTTATTTGGTTGAAGGTGTTGAAGTTATACTAGCACAGTTCTTTTCCCAATAAGTAGATGATTCGTCGACAAGCCACTACCGTGAAAAACAATTACTGGCTTTTCACCATTGTCAGAAGAGAACACTGTGGCGGTAAATAAACCTCCAAAATAAATAGTTCTGTAAGTCCTCGACATTCAATTCTGACCTCTCTAGTTTTATTAAACACATCTATCTGAAAGTGTTTCCCTATGTATCTGCGCCAGATCATGAGTGGGTACACCGTGCTACGTATCTCTTTCAACAGTTAGCCAGTATATCTCAAACACTTCCCGATATATCGATAGCCTTCCAAGTTTATATTCGAGTCCATTTATTTTTGACTCTGATTTGACTGAGCTGGCATACTTTGGTTATAAAAGGGTTATGAATAAGGACGTCATCAAACTCCAAATACCTGAAATTACTCAGAAAAGCCTTCTCATGAAAGTTACCCTTGCTACGTTTGAAGAAATAAACATGATACTGAGAAACTCACGCAAACTAATTAAATCCGGAATATTTGCCGCTGTTGAAGAAAGGAACCTGATTCTAAGTAACTAACGTAAACTGATTGGATTCGGGATATACGGCCGTGATCGTACTAAGAGATGAGGTGCAGACACGGAAATAAACGAGAGCCGCCGGTAGCAAGAAAAAGTTCTACACAGAATTAAAGACGTCCCTACTAAATAAAATGGCGGACCTCAAGATAACGGTGGATATAGAAAAACCGGATGTTATTACTGTCTCAGAAACATAGTTAACGTCAGAAGTGTCCGATAATGGGATTCAGTTGACTAGTTTTGTTATCCAGTGGGGATGATAGATTAAACCATAGGGAAAGAAGTATTATCCTGTACACGAACAGCACCTTAACCATGCGAACAGTTGAGACAGTGGCTCATGATTTAGGGACATGTCAGCTGGAATGTAGACGGCGAGATATTCAATTAGTTTTCATATACCTCAGTCCATAATATTTGGTAGACGACTTCCTCCTAAGCAAACGTAAGTCCTGGTGTAATAGGGGTAAAAGGCTTAAAGTAGGTGACCTTAATGCATCATACGTAAACTGGGTAAACTTAGAAGTAGGGTCATCGATGACACATTCGACCTTAAACTGTTGTAAAATGCCATTGCACTATCTTTATCCCAGCACGTTAGAGATCCCACCAGATATGAGTAACGAAGATCCTCGTCTCTCCTAGACTTAGTCTTCACACACGGTGACGACACCGGTCAAGTGACTCTCTTCCTACCACTAGGGAGAGGTGACCATGCAGTCATCTTATTCAAATTCATGGCTGAGATGGCCTGTCAAACAGTTGCGCCGGCCCGTCCTAATATATGGAAGGCAGATATGAAGGCAGTCAACTGCGCACCATCGGCTGAAAACTGGGAAGTTGACTGAAGGGCGTCAGTAGAAGAGGTATGGACTCATTTCAGACAGTTATACAATCGGGTAACTCAACCATATATACCCTGGACAGTCCCAAGGAAGAAGAAGCACGACCATCCCTGGATAGGCCGGAATGTTCGACGTTTAGCAAGACAAAAGGAGAAATGTTGGAACGTTTCCATCAACCTTGGCACAACAAGTGCGATGGAACACCGCAAGTTGGTAAGAAACAAGTGTATGAATAAAATCAGGGAAGCTCAGAGAAAATATGAAATACGGTTGGCACAATCTGCAATTAAGCAGCGCAAGAGACTATTCTCGTACACAAATTACAGAACAAGGATGCATCATTGAATTGAATCTGAATCTGTAAGCCTCGCCAGTGTTGTATTTAAAATATTGGAAAGAATAGTCAAACTGACCATAATGGCTTTTATGGAAGCCAATAATCTGTTAAACAGAGGAAAAATGGTTTTAGAAAGGGTTTATCTTGTACAACGAACCTCCTTATAGCAAAGGAGTTTCGGATAAAGGCGTTGTTGTCTACATAGACTTCAGTAAGTCTATTGACAATGTGCCAACTAATAGACTACTATTGAAGTTGGAAAATCTTGGTATTGCCGGACCTCCTTTAAAATGGGTTAAGGATTTCCTAGTAGGTCGTAGACAGAAAGTAAGAATAAATACCAAGTGCTCCATCTGAAGACCAGTGGAGTACCTCAAGGTTCTGTCATAGGTCCTTTACTTTTTATACTATATGTAAATGACCTCCCAAGTATAGTACAGTCTCCAAAGTTATTATACACTGACAATGTAAAAAATCTGGCGAGAGATAACTGGAGATTCAGACGCATGCGCTCTTTAGGCAGACTTAAATAATATGATTAACTGGTCTAACGAGTGACTGATGTCTATATACGCAGCAAAGTATCCACAAGCACTTTGGGGATACAAAGGTTAATAGTTACAAAACAGGGGAAGTGTCATTACCCGTGGTTCAATATCATAAGGATCTAGAGGTGAAAGTGAATCATGATCTTAAAACGACGGTCCATTGTCGGGAGGTCGCAGCTAAGTTGATTAGAACCCTCTTGACTTTAAGACGGCCATTCATCAAGCTAGATAATTTTGATTTATAGAATAATAAGAAATGATTTTGAACCTAACATATTCTCTCTCTTTTTCTTCACACTAGATCAGGTCATCTCAGATGACATAGCAGGCGAGTAGAAGAGCCAAGAACGAACAAAATACCAGTGGCAAACAGGTTTTCACACCGAGTCGTCAATACTTGGGACCTGCTGACACAAGCAGTGGTGTCCTCGCTTTCAACTGACTCATTCAAGAGAAGACTGGACACTCACAGAAACATACTAGAAAAGGAGTAACATAGGCCGTAGGCCTTATTACACAAATCAAAACAATATCACGTTATAATTTGCAAGCATTTTTCCATTTTACCGTTAAATATGCCTAGGTCCTAAACTGGAGGCATCGGTGGTCCACCACTACTATATACGAAAGGCCGTTAAGAGAAGCTTCTACTCTGTCCAGAACCACTTGACTCATTTACGACCCGGCAGTTTCGAATTATGACCAAGAAGTTGAGGAATGACCTCCTAAGCTTTCTTAAGGCTGTTGGGTAATATATCCCTGTTCTTGCTTATTTTTACCAGCAAAAACCACGACTCAAAAACTTTTCTTGAGAAGGACAATGAATTCTCATCACTAGTTAGTGATTTGGTGTTTGAACTGGGAAAATCTCACAACATCTCTTCGAATGTTTATCCACTTACAGGTTACAGGTTCATTTTTGTTATGCAATAAATTTCAGACGAGTATGAATATACCAACTTCGCAAACAGCTTGGAAAAGTTTTTGGTATCTTATGGTGAGTTAGAATTAATTGTAAATTAGACGATATATTATGAGCATATATACTCACGACATTCAAACAAAAACGTTAAAGGATCCAGTGAATTTTCTAAGTCCTATTCATAAAATTTACCGGTGTTCTACATTCCGAACGCTACGACCAGATATTCATTGACGAATATAAGCAACATAAAAACCAAGTGCTTGGTAAACCCCACCAATTTAATGTAATTTGATGATTATTGCTTAGCCTTCACTAACCAACTCTTAGATTTCAAAGCAGACCATACAGTATTTCACTGAGAAAGGGCTTCTGGTGGTTTTTTGACCACTTCATAAACCTAGAGTTTTGAATATGTAGCTCGTTTATGAAGTACACTTTTATTTATTCGACTTTGGCTAATCGTCACCAGCATTTTCAAACTCAAGCAGTGTTCCTCGGAGTTGCCCATTATCTGATCAGTCCTAATGGGTTAGTGTCTGACGAGGTCTCAGCACAAATTCAAAAAACTCGTTTGGCTATTGCCAACTTATGTCACCTATGGTGAAGGCGGGATATCCATCTATCGATTAAGGGACAAGTATTCTGCGCAGTAGTTCGTCCTGTTTTACTTTACGGCTGCAAAACGTGGCCATTAAGAGTAGAAGATACTCGTAGGCTACAATTATTTGACGACAGATGTCTTAGAAATATTGCTCGCATCTGCTGGGATCACCGGGGTTAAACACAGGGTATTAGGGAATGATGGTAAATCAGTTGAGGAGGTTGTGAATCTTCATCGACTGAGATGGTCGGGGCACGTGTTGCGTATGCCTGAACACCGATTACCATAACGCGCATTGCTAACCGGTGTTAGGGATAATTGGAAGAAAGTTAGGGGCGGCCAAACCAAAACGTGGCATCAGTGATTGAAGTCACCGACTTCTAGTATGAGCCATGTTAGTAGATGCAGACAACTTGGTTAGGGTCCACGTGACTATCGTGATCAATAGTTGGAGACTCTTGGTGACATGGCTCAGAATCGATCACAATGGCGTAGGTGTATACACTCTCTGTCTTTCTTTAAATTAAGAGATTAAAGTCACTTCAAATCTTTCTTTCTAGGAACTAATTCTTTCTTCCTGTACTATCTCCTTATACACAATCTTTCTTCTATATATTACCACCACTGAATTAACTACTATGAATCCGGTGTTCATGTTGTTGTGTTAATGAGGTATGGCAACTTGGACCGATGCATATACGTGCCTGGTCCTACGTTGCAGCTGACTGACTGACAATAGATTAAATACACACAGACAATTGTTAACCAGTAGTTGAACATACCGAACATATGACTTTGATGAAGAGTGTGTTAAACAAGTAATGTGACTTCGCAAATAAAACAGTAGGATTCCGTATGATGTTGACCATCTTCTCAGGCACGCCATAGTGTCGAAGAAGCCTCCATAGTGTTGTCCTGTCCACGCCATCAAATGCTTTCTCGTAGTCACAGGACTTCATGTAGAGTGGTGAATCCCGTTCAACTAGTTGTTCCACAATGATCCATAATGTTGAGATTTGGTCTGTACATGATCGATCCTTACGGAATCCAGCCTGTTGATCTCGTATTTGGGCGTCCACGGAATCCTTCATTCTGTTTAACAGTACCCTGTTGAAGACTTTTCCTGGTATTGAGAAAAGAATGATGCCTCTGTAGTTATCACACTTGCTGAGATGACCTTTGGTATATTGATCAGGTGTCCTTCTTTCCAATCTGTTGGTACAACTTGTTCTTCATCCCAAACCTTGGTGAAGAGAATGTGGAGTATCTTTACGGTTACTGCTACGCCTACTTTCAGTGCCTCTGCTGGAATGTTATCTGATCCCATTGCTCTGCCCCTCTTGATTTGTCTGATGATCAATGCTAATCTCTTCAATTGTTGGTGGCCAACATTGATTTGGAGGTCCGTGTGTGCTGCTTCGATGTTAGGTGGGTTCAGTGGGGCTGGTCTACACCTGTTTCGCTGTTCTTCACTGTTGGTGATTACTTTGCCTTCTTGCTTTTCACTGATCGTTCTGGTTTACGATAATTTCAAGGAGCTTCTTTGTTGTATCATACAATTATCTCATGTTTTTTTTCTTGCAGCCTTTTCCGCCATCATTTCTAGATCTTCCACTTATTTACGTTTGTCGGTTTTGATGCTCTTCTTCACTTGCTTGTTTACTTCTGTGTATTCAGCTAAACAAGCAAGTCAAGAGGAGCGTCAGAACCGACAAACGTAAATATGTGGAAGATCTAGCAATGACGGCGAAAAAGGCTGCGAGTGGAATTTTTCTCGTGACTCTTCTCTATTGTCATACAACTCAAACATTCTGTAAATCTGTAGAGATTATTGAGTAAATGTAAGCACTATGTTACACAATGTGTACTGCTGCATTGGCTATATTTCCCTACATTAGCTGGTGCGTATGAGACAAAAGGTCTAGGTCATCTGTAAAGTCCTAATCGTGTAGTTGCATCGAAACTGTCCATTGTATTCCGTGCTCACCCTGAGATATGGTGGTCTTCATAATCCAGTCAACCACGATAAGAAAGATAAAGGACAAGAGTAAGCAACCTTGTCCGACACCGGTCCTCACTTGGAATATATCTGTCAGCTGTCCTCCACTTATGAATTCTCGGTGTAGTTTGTCGTATGAATTCCGTATGATGTTGACGATCTCAGATACACCAGTATCAATGAGGGTTCCATCAGGTTCTCCTATCCATACTGTTGAATACTTTCTCATAGTCAAGGAAGTTGATGTATAGTGACGAATTCGACTCAACTGATTGCTCAATAGTGATCTGTAGTGTCATCTAGGACAGTAGGTCAACAAATGTTGAAATTTTGGTACGTAAAGTAAAGAGCTAACACGACTTTCATGAAATTATGAGACTTGTAGTGTAGGCTTGTTGTCTGTCTGACTATCAGATGGTAAGTCTACTTTCAAGTATTTTACTCTATATTACTTTGAATTCAAAACATTATTGAAGGTTAGTTTTTCATAAGTTGCTAGTATTCGCTCGCAGATGTTTTCAAAGTATTGCTCACGTATAGTTATACTGTTAAACTGATTAAAGTCAAATTATATTATTATGCTTCGCCACAATAACTGGGGGCTAGATTCGTTAATAGCTGATCAACAAATCTGAATTCTTCTTTTTTCTAACTTAGTAATCGCGTGCAGATGTGCGTGCCTAGCATTTTAAGTGTGTGTGAATTACCTGGGAACAGAAACGGAAGTGGAGTAGGCTTCGAACCAGAGACCTTTTAGTTGTTTCTCGAGTCATTTAACCATTAGGGCATCACTGTCACTAGCTATTGATTATTTTGTGACTTATCGGGTATCCTGTTTGACAAGGTGAACTCCTTTCACGAAGTGATTTTTTTGTTTTAAAGGTTGCCCATATTCAGTGCTAATGGAAGGACCTATTTCTGACCGCTTTTCTTCTGTTAATAATCGTAGTTTGCTTTTACGTGAGTCTAACACTTCTATTTTTTAACTGTGTAATTGCTTCATAGATAAAATCTTAATTTGTTTAAATTCATGGCAAATTACGTTTAGGATAAGTTATTGTTTGTTGTTCTATGTAAATGTTTAGAATGTCACTCAATTGTTTCCAAAATGAGAAAATAAGTTTTTAACTCAGTAGGTTTCTACTACTCCTACTACTATTCTTACATTTATCCTTATAATTTCGTCGCACTATACTGTGGTATGAGAAGATGAACTGATGTACATATGCATCAGGTTTTATGCTACTCATTGCTGATGGATTGACTGTTTATACATACAATAAATACTATTACTCAACCATGATACATAATGCAAGGGGATGTAATACAACCATTGTCTCGGTTTCAAATTTTGTTCTTGTTTTTCTTTCTCAGAATATCTATGTTCAGAGATAATGGCTGTTAAACAATTGTCTACATTGAAGTCTGTTGGTAAACAAAGTAATGAACATTTCATGGATGTGGACAGTTCAGAGGATAATGTAGAAATTCTATCCTGTTTTCAGAAAGCGTTTAAAGCTCTTGGCTTAAAAATGCCTCCTGATGACTCAGCACCTACTGTAATATATTCTTGTCTTCAAAAAGGTGTAAGTGATTACAAACGGTGCATAGCTTATGCAGATGTTCGTTTCGTTCATGCTTTTTATTTCGGAAGTGCTTTCTAATAAATTTTAATAGTATCGTACATTTAATAATTTGTGTTTGGATAATTTGTGGCAAAATCGAACTATTTACCATTTCATATGACTGAATACTAGTTGCATGAGTAGGATGGTTGGAGACACTTACAGAACACTACAGTCGTCAAAAGGATGAATAGGATAGCAACTGGAAACAACTGGGCGGGATTGACCAGGATAGAGTCCAATGGAGAATGCTGGTGGGCGGCCTATACTCTTTTGTGAGGATTAACAGGCGTAAGGAAGTAAGTGTAGTCGTCTAACATGTTTTCATTCTTTTCTAGGTGCTTCAAGACAACATCTGGGAATATCAGTGGTTTTAATCTTTTTAACAATATACTAAGCTGTCTTTATCATCATTACCGTATATCCTCGTCCTTTTGCCGTTACCATTCATTTTTATTACAATATCTTCGAATTTATTCCCTGCTATTGGATTATTAAAATCTATTATCTTCGCAACACTGTTTCTCTTACAATCATACCTACATTTTGAAGTGTCGAAACTAAATACCAGATCGAGTTTATTGAAATCTGTTTCAAGATGTGGATGTATATTTAAATTTTCAAACGAACAAACATATTTAACTGTGACTTTATTCCAGCTTTCCTTGCAACCCTGTAAACCCCAAAATATTCTGTTATGTTCTGTGGCCTCTTAACTATCGCGTGTTAAAATCGCTAACCAGAATACCGACTTCTATTACCTTGTCTCTGTGCTAAACCAATATCATGTCAAACAGCACTAGTAGGCTTGAGTTGATTCCGATTCCTTATTGGCCCTCTGTATAGTGGCTTCTCATTTAACCCAGCTCGTTCAGTCCGGGACACAAATATTAACCTCTGTTATAACCGAGCGAAGATCAAATCACGAGTAACTTCTGAGACATTAATTGACTAATATTATCTATATATTCTTATGGTATAACTATTCAATAGTTAGATTATGTATATTTATATTCCCCTTATTATAAGCTTCATTTTGACCTATAATTTATCATTGTACGATTTACAGTTCCTAAATTATGCTCAGTTTATTAATTACTGTCTCCCATATTCACAGCCACTTTTTGGCCTATTTGTGTACATATGTTATTTTCTATTTTATGGTACGTTGTGGTCTGCCTGATTGATATATAAGCCGAGTATGTCTGAAATAAATGATTCGATTCGATTCGCATAGCGGAAGCTGGTATTGATGTTTTGGACTCAAGTGGACGGGCTAGGCGAACATAGGACCAATAAAGACTCTAGGCTGCTCGCTTGTATTTTATGCGTCACTGTATCGATCGATAATTCGCTGCTCTCTAATAGGTGGATCACACGTTATGACAACCTCCACTATATGAATAGTATATTTCAGACGTACTTGGTTTATATGCAAGTGGACCAGACTCCATCACACCATAAAGTGAAAAATAACAATTAGGCAAGATCAAGCTAAAATTGGCTATGTGTGTGGGAGACTGTAACTGATAGATTGAGAGTAACTAGAGATTAGTAAATCGCATAACAGTAGCCAATAGGTCAAATGAAAGCTTATGATGGGATATATATATATATATATATAATCTAGTTACTTAATAATTATCCAGTAAGGATATATGTGACAGTAGTCCATAAATAACCCTCAGCAGTTATCATTCATTTATTTTTTGTTCGGATATAACGTATTGGAGTCTAGGTGTTCCATACATCAACTCATTTTAGAGTGAAATTATAAGGTTAATCGTTAAAGCACTCTGCTTCGAACTATTAAGTCCCAGGTTCGAATTGCAATAACCATTTGGACAACTAACACAAATGCACTCATTCTTTTCCACAAACTACTTGTACTTCTTATTCCACAAATTCATTTTTTATCGAATCATATTATATATGCTTAGTATTTTCTACCACAACTGATACTGTTACTCCTACTACTACTCTGGTTAGCGTTTTTTTATCGAGTTAGTTTTCTACGGGTGGGGTCGCTAATCCCATGCCCAACCCTCCTCCTTTATCTGGGCTTGGGACCGGCAGTAACCCCCGGAGGGACTCCAGGCGGAGTTCTACTACTGCTCTAGCATTTAAAAAAATGATTTCACCTCACTATACTGATAAGATGTGATCAATTGAGCCGAGTGAATTTCGTGTCAGGTACTATATTGCTTATGAATGATTGAGCATGGCTGATATAGTTGTGGCGTAAATCCGTTAAGATTAATCAATAAGACTATGTTAAGATATAGTTATGGAGAAATTAGGAGCCTCATGTGAGGACAACATAGATGTTCATTGTCATTTTCCACTGATTATCTAACTAAAGTCAGTTCATGATGTAAAATATCTTACGGTTGGACGTTCTTCCAAAACATTTATATTTGTTTGTATTGCTATTCTTCTATTAGATATCCGATAGTCTTTCAAGATGCCCACCCAATCATATGGGGAAATCAATTATCCCACTGACTGGTATTAGTGATCGCCAATGGTCACAGATAATGCGTATCGCCGCATTACTACAACAGCAATATTCCAGTCGCCAAGCTACTCTTTTAAAACGTTTAGATGTTACTGTACAAAGTTTTAAATGGTCAGATAAAGCGAAAGTGAGTTGATGTCTTAATGTTTTGGTTAAGTTTTCCAAAATTAATTTATTATAATTTACCATAATAATTCTGATGTACAAAAATAACTCGTGAAAAATAAAACTCATTTTTAAAAGTGAAAATAACACTTATTAAGTTAAATGTTTTCAGTGAGAATGTGGATTTCACTGTTTGTGATGAATGTGGGAGTTTCTCAGATAACGATGGGAATTTTATTCATTCTCTATCCAGGTAATTGAACCGATGTGCAGAATACTTTAAGCTACAGTTCAATCGGCCTTCAACCACACCTCACTTACCCAATATTTCGAAGCAACCTGAACGTTAAACTTATGTAAGTCCACTGACTCTTAGTGAGGTTGAAAAGGCTATAAGTAGTCAAAAGCGAGAGAGAGAGCATGAGAGTCTGATGGACTAACCCTTGAGATTTGTAAGGATGGTGGTCTAGTTTTAACTGTTAGATTGACTGGTTCTGATCGCCGATCATCTCAGTCTATAAAAAAAGACAAAAATCCTCTTGTGACAATTACAGAAGAATCAGTTTAACAAATATAGTGTCCAAAATATTAGCCTCAAAAATGCTTCAACTTCTAACTAGAGCTCATGAAGAGTAAACTGGAGAAAACTCGGCTGATTTCAGACCTGGATGTAGATGTATAGTCAGTCGGTCAGCTACAACGTGTCTATCATGTGACCGAATTCGTTAACGCGTGCGGGCTGAGAAGTTTCGTGTAGGTAGGTTTAGAGCCCGGAAAATTGCAGGAGTTACGTAAAGTTACAAAACGTCACTAGTGAGTTAGTCAGTCAGCTACAACGTAGTACCATGCACATATATGCAGCGGTCCAAGTTGCCATACCTCATTACCACAGGAAGATGAACACCGGATTCATAGAAGTAGTTAATTCAGTGGTAGTAATATATAAAAGAAGAATTGCATATAAGGATATAGTACAGGAAGGAAAAATTAGGTCGTAGGAAGAAAGATATGAAGTGATTTTAATCTCATTGTTTAAGGGAAGACAGAGATGTATGTAGATGTATAGACCAGATATTCACCCCCCAGTAGGTTCTGGAACACAGACACTCTTCGACGTTTGACTGTAGTTGCATTCCCTATGGAACAATGTAAGCATGTTTGGAATGTGCTAAAATGTTACTTCAAGATGGACTTGCGATATCACCTGAATTAGTGATAGGGAGTGAACGGATCGATCGCTTCGCTTATCTTTGAAGTCTCATCTAGTGTCTGGCAAAATCTGTGCATGGATTCATAAGGCTCGATTGGCTTTTCCCAACTTGCGTCACTTGTGACGCTGCATTCTACTTTGTAGGTGGGAAACATTGGCACTAAGATTAGAGGATATTCGTAGGTTACTAGTATTCGATTGTAGGTGTCTACGAAGCATTGCTTGTGTTCTGGGGCTATAGAGTAAGCAATGCTTGGGTTAGGAATTAGATATTAGACGACGATGGCAAATCGACCATCCACTGAGGTGGTTGGGATATGTGCTACGTATGCCTAACCACCGTCTAACCTGACGTTCGATGTTTTTTGGTGTAGAAGTAGGCTTAAAGAGGGTTAAGGACGTCCAAACTAAAACATTGTGTCAGTCGATGAAGTTATTGACAACTAGTCTGGGCCATGTTAATAAGTACAATGAACAGCTTGGATGGAACTGGACGATTTGGACTTCACAGATGACCGTCCCTTCTATCCCACACACACTAACCAATTCAGATAAACACAATTTATGTTGCAGTAGCCTCTGCATCAATAGGCCTCCCCAAATACAACACGGAGCACACCAACCCAATCACACTTAATGGAGAAACTCTGAAAGATATGGAATTTTTCCCGTACGCAGGTAGCAGCATCATCGATGAACAAGGAGGAACGGATGCGGAAGTAAAGGCAAAGACTGGCAAATCAAGGGCAGCATTCCTACAGTGGAACAACATATTAAACTCATAGCAACTATCTGCAAGTTAATAAAAAGTCAGAATCTTCAGTACGAATGTCAAGATGGTTCTACTGTACGGAGCTGATACTTGGAGAACTACAACCATAATCAAAAGGTACAAGTATTTATAAACAGTTGTCTACACAAGATACTCGATGTCCTTTGTTGATCGAATACCTGTTATATCTAGAGCTTAGATTTTTAATATACCACGTACGTACCATCTTCTACATTGTGACTGATTGGAAAGCGAGTATACTGGCCAGTGATCCCCCGCCTATTGTTTGATGGTCAGGAAGCAGTCTGTGAATGTAAGTAAATTACTGATATCTCCGAAACATTGTTCGTGTATAATAGAACAACCGGATAAGTAGTGCTAAGGGTTAAAGGGAGGGTACTAATATGGGAATGGTAGACTATTAGTGAGGCTATGAAATTTCACAGGCCAAACTGGTTAAGCTCACAGTATGTGTCCGATTGGTTGGTGAATTCACTGGAAGTCATAATATCCAAAATCCCAGCCTAGATTCCATTCGGTAATCGTATCCTATGATTGGGAGCTTTAGTTGAGCTGTGTCAAATTGAACTGATCTGTATTTGTACCAGATTCTAAAGTTTTTATAGTTTTTACCAATTACTTCTATATTTTTTAAAGTACGATTCTCACCAGGAAATTTGTTTTAAAGTACTACTTTAATTTCTGTTTTTTTATTTCGGGCTTTTGTAATGTTTTTCTTATCTGACAGTCTAGTTTAGATAAAATCGCTTCTGTATATAATCCAATCCGTGAGAGAATGGGTCTAATTCCATATCCTGGTATTCCTAATGTCTTAGCTGTACGTGACAACATGATATTGCAAATTGAAAAGACAGGTGGTACCAGTGCACGTCGTTATACATCATGTGAATTGAACAAAATTTTAATTGGTAAAGTAAGTGTAGTTGTTGACAATTAATGACGAAAAATGTGATTTATTTTTTATTGTCATTGCTCACAGGTTTGTATTGTTTCTGGGTTTAGTCATCATATCCAATGCCTTGCAAAGTACTATAGATCTTTTTCATTTATACATGTTTAACAGGTACACGACATTCATGATGTTCTGAAAGACAACCAATGAATGCCGACCTGTACATTGGAAGGTTCTCAAGTGATTGAGGGTTCATGCGAGATCAAATTTGTGTGAAACTAATAGATCCGTGATACATCACGACAGCCTGCCTGGACATTAAACGATGCTTATCCTGAGGGTTTCTGGTCCCATAATTCGGACAGTACGCCTTTTGATCTCTGTTCACCAGACTTAGCTCCTTGCAACTGATTTCTCTGTATTTGTTAGATGATTGAATAGCGACATAGGCGAAGCAAGGTGCGAACGTAGTACCTCTAACGGTTGAAATTCGAGCATTCTACCTTCACTTTAAGATGATTATATCTCTTTCATTAATGAAATCTGCGACCATGGTAATATTTGTCTCTTCTGGTTTCATGTGAATTACTGCGTTAAAAATAACACTCATTTGGCCTGTCTTTCTTGGAAAAGACCTTCGAATACACTATCGGAGTTATTTTTGAAAATCAGTTCCTATAGCTGACACATACAACCGCTTATTCTGATACTTCACTTTACCATTGTTGCTAACGTCTTTTCCTATCAACCGAAAATGGTACTGATTTATTACATATTTTTTGTCTATTTTATGGGTCCCTGATCGAGGTGGTAGAGCATGGGAATTGGAACCACCTCCACCTGAAATGCCTGCCTTTAAACAACGTCATCCAGATGGGGGTGGTGGAACACAGAGAGGTGGTCGCGGTGGTGGTGGTGGTGGTGACAGTCGTTATGGCAATCGTGGGGGTGCTCAGGGTGGTACTAGTGGTAAGCGTTCAATTACTCTACTGCATACGTAGTTTGTTTAAATTCTGCGTATGTATTGACGTCAACCTTTTGTTGACTTTAATTTATTTGTTCTATAGGATATTGCTCAAATGAAAAACAGTGATAGTAGTATTACACGTTTATTCAACAATATACGGTCTGTAATCGATATTCTGTTTAACCAAATCACTAATCATGCAGTCTAGTATAAACATAGTAACATATCAAGTAGTCTTGAATAACTGTTTTTCTACTGCCTACGCTCCCACTGACTGCAGTTCGGATGAAGTGAAAGATGAATTTTACAGAAAGCTGTCTGAACTTCTTCAGAAAGCTAATCGTTCAGACATAGTACTCGTAGCAGGTGACTTTAATGCCCAGGTAGGTAGCTTAAACGAAACAGAAAGACATTTAGGTGGTTATTTTAGTATTCCGACACAGCGAACAGATAATGGTGATCGTCTGCTGCAACTGTGCTCAGACAATCGTTTATTTTTAGCAAACACAAATTTTAAGCATAAGGAGAGACATCGTCTAACATGGCGACCCCTTGCACCAAACCAACGATGGACTCAAATAGACCATATTGCCATCAGTCACCGTTGGAGAGGGTCAATAGAAGATTGTCGTTCTTTCTGGAGTACCTGCTTGGACTCCGACCATGCCCTAATACGAGCACGCATCTGCTTGCGCCTCACTGGACTCAAAAAGACACACAAAAATGACTCATTAGAACCGAATTGAGTAATGAGAAAACCAAAAGTAGGTTCCAGGAACAACTGAGGTCACGCTTAGGTAGTTCTGAAAACGAGGCTAACCCAGACGTTGCTTGGAAAGTTATACAAGCAGCTGTGGAAACAGCAGTGACATCTACTAGTGATTTAAACCACAGGGTTACAAAGAACCAATGGATTTCTTCAAGGTCTATTGCACTTATAGATTCTCGCAAACATCCCATCAGGTTCTGAACACGATGAAGAACGTAAAGAGATCAGATCTAGGTTAAGCAAAAGTCTAAGGAACGATCGTGAGCAGTGGTGGGCAACGAAAGCAAAAGAGATGGAAAAGGCGGCGGCTATAGGGCACACAAGACAACTCTACAGACTAATAAGAGAAACTGGAATTAATAAATCAAGTGTAAGTCAGACTATTTCGGAAAAAGACGACACTCTCATCTGCTCCCAGTCCAGACGTTTAGAACGATGGGCGGAACATTTTAAGGAGCAGTTTAGCTGGCCTTCAGCTACTCTACAATTACCCTTTATTCCCAGACAGTGTGAATGGAACATTGAAGTAGGTCCCCCAACTCTAGCTGAAGTTCAAAAGGCTATAGCTAATCTAAAACGAGGAAGGGCAGCTGGTCCGGACGGATTGGCCCCAGAGGTCTTTAAGGATGGTGGTCTAGTCTTAGCGATTAGGTTGACTAATATTTTAGCTAAAATCTGGGAGTTAGACGTTATCCCATCTAACTGGTCACAATCACTTATCGTCCCTATATTTAAGAAAGGGTCAAAGTCATCCTGTGACAACCATAGAGGGATTAGTTTGACTAATATAGTATCTAAAATACTAGCCTCTATAATTATCGGACGCCTAACTAAGACTCGTGAACTGAAAACACGTGAAAATCAGGCTGGCTTCAGACCTGGTCGTGGCTGCATCGACCACATATTCACCATTCGTCAGGTTCTAGAACACAGGCATACTTATCGGCGTCCGACAATGGTGGTCTTCCTTGACTTAAAAGCAGCATTTGACTCTGTTGACCGAGAGGTTCTGTGGCAGTGTCTGTCATTGAAAGGCGTACCTCAGAAGTACATAAACCTTGTGGAGGCTCTTTACTCGAACACTACTAGTCGGGTCAGAGCTTATGGCGAACTGTCATCTGCTTTTGCAACCTCAAGTGGCGTCCGTCAAGGCTGTCCACTTTCTCCTTTTTTGTTTAACTTTATCATAGACATCCTGATGGAAATAACGCTCTCATCGACTGACTTCTTGGGTATTGATCTCCTACCAGGAGGTCCACTTATTGAATTAGAATACGCAGATGACATAGTCCTGTTTGGTGAAGACGCTGATGAAATGCAGAGTCTTTTAGTAGCACTGAGTAACAATGCTAGAATGTTTGGGATGCGCTTCTCTCCCTCTAAATGCAAGTTGCTGTTTCAGGACTTGTCTGCGTCAACACCTGAACTAAGGATATGGAGTGAAGTAGTCGAACGCGTTGACAACTTCACTTATCTTGAAAGTCTGAACAGCCCTAATGGGTTGGTGTCTGACGAAATCTCAGTACGGATTCGAAAAGCTCGTTTAGCCTTTGCCAACTTACGTCATCTATGGCGAAGGCAAGATATCCGTCTATCAATTAAGGGACGAGTATACTGCGCGGCAGTTCGTTCTGTTTTACTTTACGGCTGCAAAACGTGGCCATTAAGAGCAGAAGATACTCGTAGGCTACAATTATTTGACGACAGATGTCTTAGAAATATTGCTCGCATCTGCTGGGATCACCGGGGTTAAACACAGGGTATTAGGGAATGATGGTAAATCAGTTGAGGAGGTTGTGAATCTTCATCGACTGAGATGGTCGGGGCACGTGTTGCGTATGCCTGAACACCGATTACCATAACGCGCATTGCTAACCGGTGTTAGGGATAATTGGAAGAAAGTTAGGGGCGGCCAAACCAAAACGTGGCATCAGTGATTGAAGTCACCGACTTCTAGTATGAGCCATGTTAGTAGATGCAGACAACTTGGTTAGGGTCCACGTGACTATCGTGATCAATAGTTGGAGACTCTTGGTGACATGGCTCAGAATCGATCACAATGGCGTAGGTGTATACACTCTCTGTCTTTCTTTAAATTAAGAGATTAAAGTCACTTCAAATCTTTCTTTCTAGGAACTAATTCTTTCTTCCTGTACTATCTCCTTATACACAATCTTTCTTCTATATATTACCACCACTGAATTAACTACTATGAATCCGGTGTTCATGTTGTTGTGTTAATGAGGTATGGCAACTTGGACCGATGCATATACGTGCCTGGTCCTACGTTGCAGCTGACTGACTGACAATAGATTAAATACACACAGACAATTGTTAACCAGTAGTTGAACATACCGAACATATGACTTTGATGAAGAGTGTGTTAAACAAGTAATGTGACTTCGCAAATAAAACAGTAGGATTCCGTATGATGTTGACCATCTTCTCAGGCACGCCATAGTGTCGAAGAAGCCTCCATAGTGTTGTCCTGTCCACGCCATCAAATGCTTTCTCGTAGTCACAGGACTTCATGTAGAGTGGTGAATCCCGTTCAACTAGTTGTTCCACAATGATCCATAATGTTGAGATTTGGTCTGTACATGATCGATCCTTACGGAATCCAGCCTGTTGATCTCGTATTTGGGCGTCCACGGAATCCTTCATTCTGTTTAACAGTACCCTGTTGAAGACTTTTCCTGGTATTGAGAAAAGAATGATGCCTCTGTAGTTATCACACTTGCTGAGATGACCTTTGGTATATTGATCAGGTGTCCTTCTTTCCAATCTGTTGGTACAACTTGTTCTTCATCCCAAACCTTGATGAAGAGAATGTGGAGTATCTTTACGGTTACTGCTACGCCTACTTTCAGTGCCTCTGCTGGAATGTTATCTGATCCCATTGCTCTGCCCCTCTTGATTTGTCTGATGATCAATGCTAATCTCTTCAATTGTTGGTGGCCAACATTGATTTGGAGGTCCGTGTGTGCTGCTTCGATGTTAGGTGGGTTCAGTGGGGCTGGTCTACACCTGTTTCGCTGTTCTTCACTGTTGGTGATTACTTTGCCTTCTTGCTTTTCACTGATCGTTCTGGTTTACGATAATTTCAAGGAGCTTCTTTGTTGTATCATACAATTATCTCATGTTTTTTTTCTTGCAGCCTTTTCCGCCATCATTTCTAGATCTTCCACTTATTTACGTTTGTCGGTTTTGATGCTCTTCTTCACTTGCTTGTTTACTTCTGTGTATTCAGCTAAACAAGCAAGTCAAGAGGAGCGTCAGAACCGACAAACGTAAATATGTGGAAGATCTAGCAATGACGGCGAAAAAGGCTGCGAGTGGAATTTTTCTCGTGACTCTTCTCTATTGTCATACAACTCAAACATTCTGTAAATCTGTAGAGATTATTGAGTAAATGTAAGCACTATGTTCATTGGTTTTGTAAATGAATCTTTCAAAGGAATTGAACAAAGTAACAAGTAATCCTAAAGAAAAATAAATGTATCGAAACAAAACGAATCCATCAAATCTCAATCGATACTATTGAGTGTACATATACATATGTATATATGGGGATTTAGGTAAATGCGACAATAAAAGCTTTCCAATCAAACTATCCAGTTCGGGGTATACATGACCACTAGAAACACCAAGTAATTGTATACCATGAAAAAAGAGAGATTTAGTACACATAACCTCATTCATTCAAATCAAATCCATCAGCAAAATGTATGCTAAACATACATTTGTTATTTGCGTCAAATACTTAAGCTGTTGCTTTTACTTCCTTATACACGACAAGGTTATAGTTGTGATGGATCTTGGAATGGTGGAAGATGTGCTGTTGGCAGCAACATCAGTAGCAGAGGAGTTGGTGGTGGTAGTTATGCTCAAATGTATGGTCAGGCAACGCCATACACGAGCGATGGAAGAGGTGTAGCATTGGGTGATGGTTATGTGACTGATCCGTATCAAATGGCTTCAATCAGCCAACAAATGGGTGGTATGATGTTATTTGAACCTGGCTTATCTGCTGCTTCACAGCAAAATTTTGTCTTTCAAGTAAGGGATTGTAACATTGTTGCTATTATTATATTTACCCCTTATCCACAATAATAGTGTGATAGTTTCAGACCAAATTAAACGGTAACTTTCGTGTTTAGAAGAAACAGTAGGTTTATAACCAGCATGTGTCACATTCAAATCCACAACTTTTATCTACTTTAGTTTGGACAATTGGGTGGTATCATTAGTCTTTATGAACGCAGATGCCATCTAACTGAAAAGAGCCGCATTGTTTGTGTTGCTATCGTTCGATCAATTGTATCACAATTTCGTGTGTATAAATGTTGTATATTCCCTATTTCAAGCGCATGAATTTGGTGTGAGTGTAACATGTCACAAAATTTAACCAGGAGACCATGTGACATTTGACTAGGTTGTTGTATATCACTATCATACAGAGCATTACGTCAATTCGTCAGTGGTTTTTAGTGTAATTTTCATGGAAAGATTTTAAAGTTGATTTTGTGTTCTGTTTGTTGATAAGGTGTTTATCGAAATTTAAATCAAATGACTCAACTAACTATTACTTATTAACAGTTGGATAAAATTCGAAGGAAATCCATGATTTCGTTCTCCTTGGTATTCGTCGCCAATGTGCATCTAGATTCTCAAAGGAATCGATGCTCTACACGAGATTGGAACCCACATCAATGCAGATAAGGGAAATCCACAAAATAAACATAAACAAAGTTTATGTAATAGGTATTAGTGGTTTCATTGATCATAGTAGAATAAACTAAATGTTGATTCGTAAAGAATCTTTTCGAAGTATCATAATTATGAAGTATCAATAAAATTCAGGGTGTACAGAAACGAAAACCTCTACCCTACTGAAACCAGTTTTGAGCTATAGAGTTCGACTATCGCGCTTAAACGATACAAGATACCTACACTCCAACACGCTTCAAACCAAATTTTAGTGGTTTCGAGAAATAACGCCGCGTTTTCATTCGGCCACTACGGGTCTTTTTACAGTTTACTCTTGTGTTAACCGTCACTATTACACATCACATTAGGTAGTGACTAAACTTGAGTAACACCTTATCTTGAGTTGAACTACCATTAGTAAATATATCATTTCCGAATGCAAATATATGGTCAAAGATGTGATTTGAATGACAACTTCAAACGGTTTGCAGCGTCGTCTCAGAGTTGCCAAACGTTTATCTGTAGCCTCGATCAAGATTTTACAATAAGATTTAAACTGTGGATTTCGTTAATAATGTGTAGGACATTCAATGAAATAAGTTGTTAAACTAGTTGGGTTTTTCATGAGATGTCAATCAAGAATAGTTTTATTAGTTCACTTTACTGTTTAACTGTTCTGTCATTTCAAACAACCACATCTGCCTTCATTGACTGGTAAAACATTATCTGAGTATTGTAATCTTATTTGTCAACCCACGTTAGTTGGTACTTAAGTGTAACGTGGAAAAAAACTAGAAGATTAAATGGATTTTGTGGATTGTGCAGGGTTTCCCAACTGTAACATGTTGGTCTTAATGTTCAACTGTCAACCGCTTTGTCATTAGGTTTCAGTCCTGATTAGTTTATCAGAGTTTGGACTTTCAGGTCACTTTAGCCTTTCTTCAATGATTGGATTAGCCTGTAAATAACACACGGTCGGTCAAATTTAAATTTTTTCATCCACAACTACCTAGATAAATACATTCTGTTCGCTGTGGCCCACCGCAGCTATAATTAATCTTGAAAATTAGATTCACTTTGGTAGTAGTAGTAGTAGTATCTATCATTGAAGGTGACACCTTTTACAAAGCGTTAAAAATACATAACTACCTTTCTAAACACAACTAGTTTTCTGAGTGTTGCCAATAACATCGTGTTGCATCTACAAAAATGTCAAACTAGGGTTCATAATGCAATGTCTATTTTATTCATTGTGAGTCTTTGAATTGGTGCATTTAGCATTAATGATGGTAAGCTATTGTGCTTAAGCGTCATTCCACTGGATTATGTCGTTTAAATACTTTCTGTTGTACATAATGATGCTCCTCATATGAAGACTCATATTATAAAGCTATTTCTGTCACTGGGGTTTGATGTAAGTAACAACTGTATATTACATAGATACGCAAAAGGTTTCTTCTAATAAAGCGAAAACACTGAATAGTGTGAGATATTTTTACAACACAGCTAACCTTATTAAGTTTTTTTCCCATTTGCGGCTGAATTCAAAGCTAGGAGGACTCTAGTAAAGACAATATAAAACATAATATCAACTTTTGAAACTACTTACTATCAACATCAGTGTTCTGGATTTATCAATCTACTTGTTTTTCAAAAAATGGTTATGTCGGTAATCAGTGTCGGTGAGTAATGGGATCAAGAAAACGACTGATCACATCAAGGTTTTTGCTTCTAGTCGTTTTCCTTCAAATTGAAGTTTGTGCTTCTCTTTTCCTACATGTCTTTCTCATTCAGTGCTATCTCACTGTGTTGTTTTGTAGTATGCCATCTTGAACAAATGAGGAAAATTACATGAGGACTTATAATATTAGAGCCTAATTGACAGCAGTTTCATGAACATTTAATCTCGTTGTACCAGTTGCTATAAAACTACGGTAATAGTTGTTATAGTTGAGTGTTTTCGATTAATTGTGATAGTTGAAAAATTTCCCAGATAATATATTTAATCTCCAAACTTTCTCATTTTAGCCTACAAAAGGTCCGGTCGCTGGTGATTTCAATTATGGAAGAGGTCAGCGAGGTGGGCGTAGCAGTCGCGGAAGACCTTATTAATAATGATACTATTATTATTTTGTTTCTTGTTGATGGATATCACTATCGCTTTCTTCATCATTATGAATTGTATTTCAGTTGGTTTCAACGTTTCTTTCTTTTCTTTTCATATATGTACAACGCTTTGTTTGTCCTTAGTGAATAAAAACGGAAATTAACACCTCATGGATAAATAAAAGCTGTTCTCTGTTCAATTAGCGGCTACTAGTAGTTGTCCGATGAAGGTTTACGGATCAATACAGTTTTAGCAATATATGGTGGCCTATTTTCACTGATAAATTGAATTACCTCTTCTACTTCTCATTGTAATATGTTGTTTTTTCGTAAGTAGAAAGGTTTTATCACTTGTGTGCAAAGTGTAACTGGGAATAATGCAAACTTATCACAGAATTCGAAAATCGACCAGTGAAAGTCGAGAAGTAGATCAGTGGCTCAATGGTCAAATCCCTTGAGAGTCAATTATTCGACTACGCAAGTTAAAACATCACTGTACCGCCGATTCAAGCAGCTTGTTAGTATTACCAGCCGTTCCACAAGAGGTATTTACAGTTATTAGCCTTGTCGTATGGTACTTCTGGTAACGATTAACAATATGTTTCTTTACCTAAAGTAGCGTGACTGGAATATCCATTTTATAGACAACTGTACAGTAAAGTAGCAGTACCCGTGTTTTGTAACTGGATGGTGTGAGACTTGCTGCATAAAGTAAAACATCCAGGATAAATTCAAACTGGTGATAGGTACTGCTTGCCAAAGTTCCGCTTGCTGACGTATTTATGTGTGCAAAAGAATCTAGCGTTAGAATGAAGTTTATATTCGATTTGTTTATTTATAAATTGAAATTATGTTATCTTCAGTTGATTACTTGGTACCAGTGATGATATTTTGTCCATAATTTTTGTTTTTCAGTAAATACGCCGCTAAATACTCAATCGGTTTCTGTGGCCTATAAAAAATAATCTCAGTATATTGCTTGTAGATTACCTTTCTTTACACAGTTGTGTAAGACCATGGATAAGTACTGGCACGACTAACCTCTCCAAATAAGTACGTACGGGTAAAGATTGAAGTTTAGTTGGCGAGGCTTCCAACCGAATATCGGATTTTACATAGCTTATAGTACTGCTAAGACTTTGAATGAAATGCTCAATGTGAATCTGCTCGTTCGGCATTTTTATTGAATGGGACGAATCTTTAAATTTTCTGTGCTGGTATTATGGATTGTTTTTTGGTTGCCTTTAGTTTTGAACAGTTAGACCAGAAAACCATAAAATTATCTGCAACAAAACGTAAAGAAAACAAGTATATTCTTCTAGAAGAATATCTAATTGTGAATCCCTAGTTGCAGAGTGACTTACAATATAAATATATCCTGACTTGTTTTACATGGAAGCAAGGTGTAGTGGCTAGAAACAGTGGCACCTACCACCTTTGAAGCTCCTTGTCTGATGAATAACGTTTTTTTCACCAAAATCGTAACCAAAGTTCCTAAAACGAGACATCAAATATTGGAGCGCTTGAAATTAATTAGTCTTCCAGTTGGATTTCGTTCAGATCATGTCAACTAAGCAACGCACAAAAACCTGTTTGATTGAAGTGCAAGACATATTTAAGGGAAATTCCTAATGAAGACTCAGATTTGATGTAAGCATGCAGTAATCTCGAGAAATGTCCCGTCAGGTGTTTTTACGTCTTCTACTAGAGGCATACTTAGTGCGATTTTCGGCGTTGCTGCCGTCCGTAGGAATGTCAGAATTCAGTGGCAAATTTCATAATTGCAGTCTTAGTTGCCAGGATGTCACGTTAAGTTTAGCCTTCCTATCTAGGTTGTGTAACAAGGTTTAACTAGAGACAAAAAGTTCTTTGTAATTCAAAAGATATTCAGGGTAGGCGGTCGGAAGGTAGGCTTGTCTCATCTCATGAATTTAAATATTGGTTTAATTTAGAAGCCGGCAAGTAATTCAACAAACTACGATGTTGTGAATAAACAAACTTTATTTGAGGCACTTTTCCTGTTAGACTAAACACTATACATCTAGTATGGATTCATGCAGTTTTCCCCACGCAATAATTTTAAAGTACGTTCTCGCAGTAATTGAACTTGATGAATTGTTATATATCTCATTGGTTATTATGAACTTCACTAGCGATTAAATTTCAAAACTTCGTATCATTCCCAAAACGGCTTCAAACAGACCACTGTTTCGATCAAGATTTTTTATGCGAATAAATGAGTCTTGGCGATATTTAACATGTCACCAATAAAGCGTTTCACTGTATTATGACTGCGGAAACCAGATGTTTTACATATTCTGTCAAAAATTCTATGGAATGAATTACGAATAGTTGATACAATTAAATGTTTGATGTGGTTTGGTCTGTAATGTTAGTGTTGTCTCATTGTACACTATGATCACATTCGGACCACTTCAAATTTGACTTACTGATTGAAACTTCCTGAGGTTTTGTTTCAATACAGATCACTATTAATTTACGATACCGCTTTAAGACATCAAATTTCTATGTTTGAATATGTAGTCCTTTCACACAAGGACCATTTATACAACTACCTTCTTAGTAATGAGTGTTAAACTTCTTCGGTGGAAGTTACATAAATGGACGACTCTGAACAGATTTTCAACTGATGGAAAAGGCATTTGGACACGAAACGATTTGTGGTGCACCACAAATCGTTGTGTTAACGTCCTCATGAGGACGTTAACACGACTGCAGTTGATAAACAGTTTAGATTTTCGAAAAGTCTTGTGTATGAATTTTTATGATCTTTAACACAAAATGACATCAGCTATGTAGCCAAAATGTGTTTCACGCCAAAATCTATCTAGTTCATGTCTAGACTTTACGTGTGACAAAATAAACACCCTTGTGCCTTTAGGACGTTTGAAAACATTGAAAAATACACTTACCGTTGCTCTAGAAGAGAGTGAGCGTATTTCGTAATATATCTCTGTTTGCTATGTTAGCGAAGCAGGATCATCATTGAAGTATAACTAGAGCTTATATAGACGAAGCTGCTAATTAGTCGAGGTCAGGGTTTGTGCATTGAGCGTGTCACCATGACGACTGTGACTCAAATTCAATGTAGATGACACAAATCTCTTGTGGTTGATGTAACATTCCGATAGAATATGCCCAAATACGTCTTCAAGATCTCATCCTCTTTGTTCTAACGGCACTTCATCACAGAATTTCTCCGCTTCCGCTCAAGTACCGATCATATCTCACGTAAATTATGATTCATAATTTGTGTAGTAAAGAAAGAAGGCCTGCAGCCTATGTTACTCCTTTTCTAGTATGTTTCTGTGAGTGTCCAGTCTTCTCTTGAATGAGTCAGTTGAAAGCGAGGACACCACTGCTTGTGTCAGCAGGTCCCAAGTATTGATGACTCGGTGTGAAAACCTGTTTGCCACTGGTATTTTGTTCGTTCTTGGCTCTTCTACTCGCCTGCTATGTCATCTGAGATGACCTGATCTAGTGTGAAGAAAAAGAGAGAGAATATGTTAGGTTCAAAATCATTTCTTATTATTCTATAAATCAAAATTATCTAGCTTGATGAATGGCCGTCTTAAAGTCAAGAGGGTTCTAATCAACTTAGCTGCGACCTCCCGACAATGGACCGTCGTTTTAAGATCATGATTCACTTTCACCTCTAGATCCTTATGATATTGAACCACGGGTAATGACACTTCCCCTGTTTTGTAACTATTAACCTTTGTATCCCCAAAGTGCTTGTGGATACTTTGCTGCGTATATAGACATCAGTCACTCGTTAGACCAGTTAATCATATTATTTAAGTCTGCCTAAAGAGCGCATGCGTCTGAATCTCCAGTTATCTCTCGCCAGATTTTTTACATTGTCAGTGTATAATAACTTTGGAGACTGTACTATACTTGGGAGGTCATTTACATATAGTATAAAAAGTAAAGGACCTATGACAGAACCTTGAGGTACTCCACTGGTCTTCAGATGGAGCACTTGGTATTTATTCTTACTTTCTGTCTACGACCTACTAGGAAATCCTTAACCCATTTTAAAGGAGGTCCGGCAATACCAAGATTTTCCAACTTCAATAGTAGTCTATTAGTTGGCACATTGTCAATAGACTTACTGAAGTCTATGTAGACAACAACGCCTTTATCCGAAACTCCTTTGCTATAAGGAGGTTCGTTGTACAAGATAAACCCTTTCTAAAACCATTTTTCCTCTGTTTAACAGATTATTGGCTTCCATAAAAGCCATTATGGTCAGTTTGACTATTCTTTCCAATATTTTAAATACAACACTGGCGAGGCTTACAGATTCAGATTCAATTCAATGATGCATCATTGTTCTGTAATTTGTGTACGAGAATAGTCTCTTGCGCTGCTTAATTGCAGATTGTGCCAACCGTATTTCATATTTTCTCTGAGCTTCCCTGATTTTATTCATACACTTGTTTCTTACCAACTTGCGGTGTTCCATCGCACTTGTTGTGCCAAGGTTGATGGAAACGTTCCAACATTTCTCCTTTTGTCTTGCTAAACGTCGAACATTCCGGCCTATCCAGGGATGGTCGTGCTTCTTCTTCCTTGGGACTGTCCAGGGTATATATGGTTGAGTTACCCGATTGTATAACTGTCTGAAATGAGTCCATACCTCTTCTACTGACGCCCTTCAGTCAACTTCCCAGTTTTCAGCCGATGGTGCGCAGTTGACTGCCTTCATATCTGCCTTCCATATATTAGGACGGGCCGGCGCAACTGTTTGACAGGCCATCTCAGCCATGAATTTGAATAAGATGACTGCATGGTCACCTCTCCCTAGTGGTAGGAAGAGAGTCACTTGACCGGTGTCGTCACCGTGTGTGAAGACTAAGTCTAGGAGAGACGAGGATCTTCGTTACTCATATCTGGTGGGATCTCTAACGTGCTGGGATAAAGATAGTGCAATGGCATTTTACAACAGTTTAAGGTCGAATGTGTCATCGATGACCCTACTTCTAAGTTTACCCAGTTTACGTATGATGCATTAAGGTCACCTACTTTAAGCCTTTTACCCCTATTACACCAGGACTTACGTTTGCTTAGGAGGAAGTCGTCTACCAAATATTATGGACTGAGGTATATGAAAACTAATTGAATATCTCGCCGTCTACATTCCAGCTGACATGTCCCTAAATCATGAGCCACTGTCTCAACTGTTCGCATGGTTAAGGTGCTGTTCGTGTACAGGATAATACTTCTTTCCCTATGGTTTAGTCTATCATCCCCACTGGATAACAAAACTAGTCAACTGAATCCCATTATCGGACACTTCTGACGTTAACTATGTTTCTGAGACAGTAATAACATCCGGTTTTTCTATATCCACCGTTATCTTGAGGTCCGCCATTTTATTTAGTAGGGACGTCTTTAATTCTGTGTAGAACTTTTTCTTGCTACCGGCGGCTCTCGTTTATTTCCGTGTCTGCACCTCATCTCTTAGTACGATCACGGCCGTATATCCCGAATCCAATCAGTTTACGTTAGTTACTTAGAATCAGGTTCCTTTCTTCAACAGTGGCAAATGTAACCTTCACGAGGCGGCTTTTCTGAGGACTTTCAGAATCCACCTTTTGTCCTATTCCATATGGCTTACAGATGCTTACTGCTGAAACTGTTTCTGGGAGTAGCTTGCTTATTAAGGACTTAATATGACTGAGGTCGTGCTCAAGTCTAGCCTTTGGTTCGTTATCGGAAGATTCCCTTAACTTATGAAAAATGACTGACCTTGCAAAAAGGTCTATCTTGATACGCTGTGGAATTTAGGTTCTTGAAACTGTCTCTTCCTTGCACTTCGATTTCGATTCAGCGCCAAATACAGAGGTTGCGTCTTGTTTTCTTAAATTTCGTTTCTTTGGTGTGGCTGTGAGTCACTCATTTACCTAATATTATCTCTTAATCACTTCCTCTACACTGCTCAGACTTGGTTCTACTATAGTTTGTATGATATTGCTACTTGAATTTGGAACTGAACCTTCGGATTCACGTGCATCAGCACTGTCTCAAGGTAGTATTTACTTCTCAGCGCGCTTCTTCTTTCTATTTCTAACAATATCTACATCCGTCTAGCTGTCTGTTTACTTGATAACGTCCACCTTTATGGTCTAGTTTGAGTCTGAGGCTGAGCTTATAATAAAGGAATTAGTTTCCTCTAAAGCGGAGCCCCGATCATCTACTACTGCCTGTATATCAGAGGGCAATTTCCAAGCTAAATATAGTAGCTCGATTGCCTCTAAAATCACCAGAGAAGATTCTATACACAACCAACGTAATAATGGCTTCCAGCACCGATTGTGTACAGTTGGTGGGAGTTTGGTGCACACATTGTGATACTACTCATTGCAGTTATCACCATGCATCACCTCATCGTAAAGTACAGATGATAAACTTCTCTAAAGAAAAGCTGTACTGTTGTGGATTACTTCAACTGAAGGAGTCCTATTAAAGCAAAGACATTAGTGTTGGTGTGTAATTTAGCGATCAATACTATAAAAATTACCCAGAGGAAAAACACTATTGTCCTTTTTGAACAGCGCAGCTGTATTCCAAAACAAACTGGCTTGCTGTAAGTTCAACAAAGTATTTTTGTCGTTGAAACGAAACGACTAGTGCCTTGTGGTGCTCTGTCAGTTGTCGATCATGTGATCCACGGATCGGGAGATTTAGATGTCATTTGGTCATCAAATTATTCATTGTAGGTTGCTCCTGTAGTGGTTGTGAGAAAGAAAAATAGGATTGTTCATACATGCACCAACGTCTCCACTGGTTTGTCCTAGAAGATTGCACCTATACGCTTACCATCCTGGAAGATTTATGAATGAAACTGAATGGAAGGAAGTATTTTGCCAAATTGATCTTGCTGAAGCATATCTTCAAATGACGATTGGTCCGGTCACCTAAGCACTACTGATCACTAACATACATAGGCACTCACCAATACAAGCGTTAACATTTTGGTGTCAAACGAGTATGAGCTAGTTTTCACCAGATAATGGACACTTTGTTAATGAATTTGTCTGCATTTTCTGTCTGTTTGGATAATGTGATTGATGCAGAATACAGTAAGAAGGAGTTAGTTAAACGACACGACTCTGTTTAAGCGAAATATTCGAGTATGGATTCTATCCGAAAGATGAGAAATCTACGTTTTCCATAAACTCGATAAAACACATTGATTTCATTTTCATAAAATATGAAGGACGTAAACATACAGCAAACGTACGAGTCACGTAATATACGCATCCCCCATCAAAATGTCGCAAGTGTGCGTTTATTACTTGGCCTTTTCAGTTATTGTTCGGAAATTTCGCCACAACGACATCACATCCAAGGAGTCACGAAATATTTATTGCACAATAATGCACGCGTTTTCATCGATTATTTGAAATTTTTGTTGCTGTAGATGCTTCCAATTACGGTATCCGTACTGTTTTAACCCATAGGTTCTCGGGTGGCAAAGAGAAATCTATTGTGCATGATTCCACAACATTAAACTCGGTGGGATATAAATACAGTCAGATTGAAGAAGAAGGATTGGAACTATGCGATCAGTTAAGATGTTTGACGAAATGCCGCATGGTAGAAAATTCACCTTATCCACTGATAATTTACCCTTAACATCGATTTTCGGATATGAGAATGGCACACGAGTTCATACTGCAATAAACCTTAGTATACTTCCTTTTACACTTTTATAAAACACTACAAAAGCCGAGTTAGGATCAGTCTTATGGCCTGTTTTGATCATATGTTTAGCAATAGAAGATGATAGGTGTTTATCCTCCACTCCAATCGAGTTATTGGATTCGATTTGTTTCTACAACCATTTTGGTACATCAAACGTGATCTCAAAATTAGGATGTGCGAACATGAGAAAGCTTTTGTTATTTCACTTTGAGTATATGATATGGGTGCAAGTTGGAAAATAAGAACGAACAGTATTCTGAGATATGTCTTACATATATTTTATGAAGATTGATTCTCGACACATTTTGAAAGAAGTTACAAATAGCGAAGATATTCAATTTACACACTTTAGACTCT